CTGATGCCAGGGGCTTAAGTGGAGAGTAAATATTTTGAGAGTGATGAGGGCAATGAATGTACAAATGTGCTTTACACAATTGATGCATGTATGGATTGTGATAAGAGTTGTATGAGCCCCTAATAAAATGATTTTTAAAAACCTAGAGTGTCTTAAAGACATTGTTGGACTGAGTGCTATATATAGCACCTGTGCCTACATACAACACCTGACACATAGTAGGTGCTCAAAAATGCTTTTAAGTGAATCATTGCTCATCTAATTTGCAGATGCAAGGGTAAGAGGTAGGAAGGTCTACCCTAGGCTGTTTGTTTTTAGTTATCTCTAGAGAAAAGAACTACTAAGAAGTAGGAAGAGAGAAAATCATAAATATTTTCTTTATAGATCTTTGGATTGTTTCATTCATTAACAGTTAACACACTAGTTTTATAATAAAAAATTAACATAATGTTACAATAGGGAAAGGGGGAAGATCAGCTATTACTGCCATCACATTGAGAGAGAGATGCAACTATTTGAGGCATAAACATCATGACTATTTTAGGCAGAAACACCTCAAAGCAGAGAAGAAAGAGGCAAGACAAGGTTGGGCTGTTTGGGAAGAAGACAAGGTTGTGGGTTAGAGGGATAAAAGGGATAGGGACCCTCATTTATTTCCATTTAATTAGGGAATGTACCTGGTTGTTAAATTCTTTATCCACCTAAAAAGTTGTACAAGTCAAAAATTGTTCTTTTGAATTTCAAATATGGGCACATTCACTACTTGGTACCTGGAGCCATCTCCATTTTGTTTCTATTAATAAGTAACCATAAGTATCTGCTCGTAGTCTCTAGACTGGCTTTAGTTAGCTACCAGTGCTAGTGCTGGGGCTTCTCCTTAAGGTATACACACCTTTGGTAAAGAGTTCTTGGACATGTTGACTTAGTAACTTGGTATTGGATAAATCGAGGGGCCATACAATGACGAAGTTTGATGTAAGCTCCTCGATTGCTTCCTTCTTCATAATAATTAGACGCAGAAAACACGGTAATAACCTGGTTAAAGAAAAAAGGTTCATGTAATATCAGTTCTCAAAGATCATTCCATAAATTCTTAAAAAGAAAAAATCAAACACATTTTATAACCAAAGAAAATTATCTGTCTTATGTGATTTCCTATTATTCCATCAGAGTAAAACAAGACTTAAAAAAAACCACTGTTATCAATCATTCCATACCCCTAGTGCATGGCCTTGACATCCTGTGCATGAGGGGGCTCCAAAAATTGTGAAAAACTGAAATGAAAAGACCATAAAATTCCATGAACTTTTTGAAGCCCCCTTGAATAATTTTAATTCCATGTCTTAGAATCTTTCTTAATATTTAGTTTTTCAAATTCTAAGTTTCCAAGAGAATAAATGACAATATTTGAGCATTCAAAATGAAACTTGTCCAGTGTCTCTTTTTGTTCCTTTTGCTTTGAGCTGAGTAATTTAGAGAGTTTAGGACCCCTAAAAACCAGTGTTTGAAAGGCAATGAAACAGTGGCCAGAGTAAAGGGCACCGGCCCCACCTTGGGAAGGAACCAACCTTGGGACTCCGGTGAAGTGTGAGATGATACCACTCATTTGTGATGGGAAAGCTAGCTTAGGTCCAGATACGCCACTAAAGACTACCGCTCTTTTCTGTTTATTTATTTTAAAAATTTTGTTATTGTTAAGAATGTGCACAGCAGAACACATATTAATTCAATAATTTTCCCTTGTACAACTCAGTGACATTAATCACATTCTTCAATTTGAATGTTGGACCACTCTCCTTTTCCCAATTGTTCCTTCCCCATTCATATACGCTCACTGACGCCAAATTGCTTATCTAATCTTCGAGCTGCTACCGTCAAGCATATTAATTTACATAGTTCTTAAAAGAACACAGCACTCAAGGCTGATATTCTTTACTAATTAAGCTAAACGATTGTTTGTTTAAAAAAAAAAACTGCAGGGGATACGTCTCGGTTTAAGATTTAAAAATTATCTCTGGTCAATATTTTGGGGATTCATCCAGCCTCCATGGTTCCAGAATGTCTGGAGTCCATGAAAATTTGAAATTCTGTTCAGCACCTTCTCCTTTTTTATCAAAATTTTCCTATAAAACCTTTGATCATAAAAACAACAAAAAAAACCCTTTGATCAAGATAGTTTCCTTATTACAAAGAAACCCTCCCCAATACTTGCCTTACCCATCTCACACATTAATATGAGCCTCAAATGGATGAATAAAATTAAGAAAAGTGATCATGTTAAAATAGAATGGAACACTAAACAATTTTATTTTTATTTAGTCCTGTTTGTTTTTAGACAAAGAATCATCCCAGGCCAATCATCCCAGGAAATCAGTTCCTCAGTCCTTTTCTTTTCTAGTATTATCAGACAAACCTGAAGGAGCTTAGCATCTTACATGTTATTGACTGGCTACACTGACCACTGTGGGCAATTACTGAAGATCACCTACTGTACTCTGCCAGTTGAAGGGATCACCTACTGTGGTAGGTTTCATAATCTGTTGTCAACTTGAGAGAATTAAGAGTGAAGAGGTGGAGTTTAGCGTGTCAATCAGGTCACAGCTTGATGACCTCATTTGGAGGCGCTAAGGAGATAAATAGCTCGCTGGAGGTGGGACACACGCTCACTCCCTGTGAGACATTTCTGACAAGCAGCCACATGAAGCTATCCTGATGCAGCCAAAGTTCTGGGAACTGTCGGAGCCATGTGGAGATGCCTGCCAGCGCTGAGATGCTTATATATACTACTGGATCCATGACTTCCCACCCAATGGCCTGTGATCATCCTGCATACAGCATTATTGTATGTGTTTCATGAGTCTGAAGAGGAATTTATAGATTGGTATCGGACATCTGAGCTAATACTGGACTTATGGTCTTGATCTGAACTGACTTGTTTTCTCAATATTCGATTGCTCTTGTATATTTTAAAGCTCTTTCTTATACACATATGAATGTCCATGAGTGTTTCTCCAGTCTACCTGGACTAACACATCTACTCCACCAGTTGAAGGGGAGTGTGCTTTGTGACTCACCCTGCACAAGTAAAGTGCTAAAGTTGAAAGAAAGGAAATCACTTCACTGATGCCTTTCACTGTTTCTTTGAGGTTAAGTACCTACTTAATCTCACCTTTCTAGAGATTTACTTTACGAATTATAAAGACTGAGTCCTTTCTGTGTATGCAGTTAATTCCAGAACTTTTGTCTCTGGGATAAGGGAAGACCAGAAAAGTATTGTAATGCTAACTTTTTCTCACTGGTACGGGCAGTGGGAGTCCTTCCTACAACTTATGTGAGCCCTGCAGTCTTCTTTTTCTGTGTGGGCACTAGGGAAGATATCTTCCCATGGGCTTCTGGGTCAAACACACTCAGTCAAGAGAAGACTGTGCTTGTGGGAAGAATAACTGTAATAACATAAGCAACAGAGCCAACTTACCTTCCCGTCATGGCAGATTTCATAACCATCTGGTTTACACTCATGAGAACGAACAAGCAACTTCAAATGGTATTTATTAAGAATCTTGGATGTAACATCTGGTCCAAAATAACAGCCTCCTCCTCGGCTTTTGTTTGGGTAGCAGCCTCTTTTGCCTCTGGGGTCACTCCACAGAATGTCCACGAGCTTTGAACAACAAACCAGATTAGGCTGCTGCTATCTAAATTCTAATTTCCATGCTAGAGATATTAACCCAAGTAATCCCAGAGATGAACTATTTCTCCTTCAAAACTGTTTTATACTCATTTCCTCCATGAATCCTTTCCAGAATTCTTTCAATGTCCATAGCCACTCCAACACCTTCCCGGTCATCCCCAATAACCAACTTAGCAACAATACCCAATTTAGCAACAACAATAACTGATGTATCTACGAGAACGAATTTAGCAATGCTTAGTAATCAGGAAGAATCAGCCTTTGCATTTTTCTTCTTTGAAAATCTGCATCACATTTGTTTCACAACTGTTGGAGATATAAAGGTCTTCTCTCGAAAAGACACATGTTCAGAGGAGAAAGCAAGCCTCCACAATGGGTATTATGGGTTGTTATGGATTGAACTGTGTCCCCCAAAAGATATGATATAGCCAGAACTTCTGTACCAGTAAACATGGTATTGTTTGGAAATAGTGCCTTTGAAGATGTTATCAGTTGGGTGGGTCCAAATTTAATCAAACTGGTGTCCTCATAAAAGAGAAAAGTCACAGAGACATGGAGGTATGGTAGTAATGTGGCAAGGGGGGTTACCAAGGATCACAGGCCATTACCAGAAACTAGGAGAGAGGCATGTAGCAAATCCTATCTCAAACCTCAGAAGGAATAAACATGGCTGACACCCTGAATTTGGATTCCTAGCAACAGGAGATTTAAGGTGTGCTGACCCAAGCCATGGTATTTTCGTTCGTTCTTTCTTTTTTGGATTAGTTGTAATGGCATATACTTCACACCATACACTTTAATAATTCAATTATATTAAGATTTGTCCCAATCCTGCCTCTCACTGCAGGCTAGGCCAGAGCCTGTACACAGGTACAGATAAGAGCTCAGGACACATGAAATCCAGGTCTGATAAACACCTCAGGAACAGAAAGGGGAGTCGTGATACTAGGATGGTAGGGGGAAGATGGGGAGTGGAGAGGAGGAAGGGGGAACCGTTCACAATGATCGATAGATAATTCCCACCCCCCTCCCCATGGGGATGAACAACAGAAACCAAGGGGTAAGGGAGACAGCGGTCAGGTAAGATATGAAAATAATAATATTTTATAATTTATCAAGGGGTCACAAGCATGGGAAAGGGGGAGGGAGGGTAAAAAGAGGAGCTGATACCAAGGGCTCAAATAGAATGTAAATGTTTAGAAAATAATGATGGCAATATATGTACAAATATGCTTGCTACAATTGATGTATGGATTGTTATAAGAACTGTAAGAGCCCCCAATAAAATGATCTTTAAAAAAAGATTTGTAGAGTTATCACTACAATCAATTTCAGAATATTTCCTTGTCATATTCATTGTTGTTAGCTCCCCATCTTTCCCTACCATGCCCCTCTAGGCAATTATCAATCCAGTCACTGTCTCTATAGATACACCTATCCTGAGTTTCATATACAGAGAAATCATACAAAACACAAACAGGATGCAAACATACAAACAAAAGCCACAAGAAATATGACTAGATAAAACAGAAAAACCTCAGTAAAAAAAGCAGCAAATATTAAAAATTGAAATAACTTTAAAATGGGTAGAAAGGGAGATCAAATGATAAGGTAACCTAACTGTTGTTATTGTTAGGTACCATTGAGCTGGTTCCAACACTATGCATAACAGAGCAAAACACTGCCCAGTTCTGAGCTATCTTCACAATAGTTTCTATGTTTGAGCCACTGTGTCAATCAATCTCCTTGAGGGCCTTCCTCTTCTCACTGTACCTCCACTTTACTAAGCATGATGTCCTTATCCAGGAACTGGTCTCTCTCCTGACAACATGTCCAAAGTATGTAAAATGAAGTCTCACCATCCTCGCTTCTAAGGAGCACTTTGGTTGTTCTTTCAAGACAGTCAGTTTGTCCTTTTAGCACTCCATGGTACTTTCAATATTCTTCTTCACCACTGCAATTCAAATGCATCTATTTTCCTATGGTCTTCCTTATTCAAAATCCAACTTTCACATGCATACTAGGCAATGGAGAATACCATGCCTTGGGGCAGGTGCACCATAGTCCTCAAAGTAACATTCTTGCTCTTCAATACTCTAAAGAGGTCGTGGGCAGCAGATTTACCCAATGCAACCTCTCTTTGATCTCTTGACTGCTGCTTCCAAGAGTATTAATTGTAGATCCAAGCAAGACAAAATTCTTGATTATTTAAACCTTTTCTCCATTTATCATGATGTTACCTATTGGCTTAGTTGAGAGGATTTTGATCTTCTCTACATTGAGTTGTAATCCATACTGAAGAAGGCTGCAATCCTTCATCTTCATCAGCAGTTGCTTAAAGTCCTCCTCACTTTCAGCAGGCAAAGGTGTGTCAACTGCAGATTGCAGGTTGTTAATAAGCTTTCCTTCAATCCTGATGCCATCTTCTTCTTCTTCTTAGAATACAGCTTCTCTGATGATTTGCTCAGCATACAGATGGAATACGTGTGTGAGCGAATACAACCCTGACACACACCTTTCCAGGTTTTAAACCACGTAAGGGTTTTAAGCCCTTGTTCTGTTTTCATAACTGCCTCTTGATCCATGTACAAGTTCCAAATGAGCACCATGAAGTGTTATGGAATTCCCATTCTTCTCAAGGCTAGCTATAGTTTATTACGATCAACACAGTGGAATGCCTTTGCATAGTCAATAAAACACAAACAAACATCTTTCTGGTAGTCTGCTTTCAGCCAAGATTCATCTGCTATCAGCAATGATATACTTGTTTCATGTCCTCTTCTGAATACACTCTCAAGTTCCCTGTTGATGTACTGGTACAACCGTTGTTGGATGATCTTTAGCAAAAATTTATTTGCATGTGACATCAATGATACTGTTTTATAATTTGAACATTCTGTTGGGTCATCTTTCTTTGGAATGGAGACAAATATGGATCTCTTCCAGTCAGTTGCCACCTAGCTGTCTTCCCAATTTCCTGGCATAGATAAGTAAATATTTCCAGTGCTTCCTAAGACCTTTGAAACATTTCATTTGGTATTTCATTAATTCCTGGAGCCTTCTTTTTGGCTAATGCCTTCATTGCACCTGGAACTTCTTCCTTCACTACCACTGGTTCTTGCTCATATACTACTTCCTAAAATGGTAGAATGCCAAGTAGTTCTTTTTGATGCAATGCCTCTATGTATTCTTTCCATCTCCTTTTGATGTTTCCGGCAGCAGTCAACATTTTCCCCATAGAATCATTCAATATTGCAACTCAAGTCTTGAATTTCTCTTGCGTTCTTCACTTTAACATACGCTGACCATGTTCTTCTTTTATGTTTTTTAACTCTAGATATTTGTACACTTTCTATTCACTTCTTTGACTTTCATTTCTTCCATTTCGTTTAGCTATTCTACGATTAAGAGCAAGTTTTAAAGTCTCTTCTGATATCTGCTTTGCCCGTTTCTTTAAAATTTTTTTGTTTATTTTTTGCCCGTCTCTTTCTTTCCTGTGTTTTTAATAACCTTTTGCTTTCTTCATGAATGATGTTCTTAATGTCCTCCCACAGCTCATCAAGTCTTTTGTTATTAGTGTTCAATGCAGCAAATCTGTTCTTGAGATTTCTTGAAATCCAAGTGACAGAGACTCAAGGTCATATTTTGGCTCTTGTGGACTTGATTTCATTTCCTTCAGTTTAACTTTGAACTTACTTATGAGTAGTTGATGATCTGTTCCACTGTCAGTCCCTGGCCCAGTTTTAGCTGCTGATATTGAGTCTTTCCATCTTTTCATCCCACAGATATGGTCAATGTGATTTCTGTGTGTCCCCTCTGGAGAAGTCTACATGTGTCCACATGCCTTTTGTGTTATAGAAAAAAGGTATTCACTAGGAACAAGTTGTTGGTCTTGCAAAATTCTGTCATGTGATCTCCAGCTTCATTTCTATCACCAAGACCCTATTTTCCAACTACTGTTTCTTCCTCTTTATTTCCAACCTTTGCACTCCAATTGTCAATAGCCAATACACTTTTGATTGTATCTTTGATTAATGTCCAGCTGAAGCCATTGGTAGAAGTCTTCAATTTCTTCATTACTAGCTGTTGTGGTTGACACATAAATTCGAATAATAGTGGTCTTGATTGGATTTTCTTAAAGGCAGATAGATATTGATCTTTATACTGTCTATTTCATTTTTTTGAAGACTTCCAATTTTCCTACATTCATACATGACATACTCCAAGTTCCAATCATTAGCAGGCTTTTGCAACGGTTTCTTCTTACCCTGAATCATTCTCCATAAGCAAATGAAGATCCTGAAGGCTATACTCCCACAGGCTTTCTCCCACTCATGTCCCCATGGTCAACTCTACTCAAGAAATCAGCTCCTCCTTAGTCATATTTCGAGTGCCCTCTTATCCAAGGGGCTCATCCTTTGGCAGTATCTCCTACAATATTCAGCTTCCTTCACTAAGCCTTCAGTATCTGACAGTGTTTTGAAGCTATGCATAAGTTTTTCAGCAGCTACTTCCTCTGAAGGGGGCAGTTGAGTCTTTCTTTGTTGTCTATTCTAGTCTGGGAGCTCTGCTGAAACCTGTTCACTGTGGGTGGCCCTGCTGGCATTTGAAATTCCAGTGACATAGCTTCCAGCATCACAGAAACACACAAGCCACCACAGTCTAACAGACTGACAGACAAGTGGTGGTTAACCTAACTAGATCTTCCATAATTGACTTTACAATGTTCTCTATCTTACAGCAAGGCTATTCACATCCCTCAACTATGGTCAGAGGGAATTTGATGGATGCTTTATCCATGTGGGGACCTTGCAAATGGGACTTGGGCCTCCACTGTCATCCTTAGCCTTTAGTAAACCAGGTGTTCACAATTTAAGCTCTGATATCATTACCTCCTTCGAATTTGGATTTTTTTAAATTTATAGTCCTTAGATCACACAGGCTGATGTGCTTCTTCCATGTGGTTTTAGTTGGTACCTCACTTAGATGGTTGCTTATTTTGAAGACAAACCTTTAAGACCCCAGATGCTATTCTTTAAAAAGAACAGTTTTATTGGCATAAAATTCATATAGCATACAATTCAATAGTTCGATCACATCAAGAAAAATTGTGTAATCATTGGTACGACCAGTTTTAGAACATTTTCTTCATTCTTGTACTTATTGCTATTAGCTCCCCGCCCCCACAATCTTCTGCCATACACCCAAGTCACCATTAATCCAGTTACTGTCTCTATAGATTTTCCTATTCTGAATTTCATACACAGAAAAACAGTTTTTCAAAACTAACAACAATAAGAATGTAAGACAGATTAAAATCTCAATCAAAAAGAAAGGAAAAAATATTACAAACTAGACCAAATTTAAAATGGGTCAAAAGGAAGATCAAATGATAAGGTGTTAAATTTTAACCTAACTGAACCTTTAATAATGAACTTTCCCATGCATTCTGCACGATATCAAGGCTATTCATATCCCTGGTCTATGGTCAGAGGGGATTCACCAGAGGTTTAATCCATGTGTATTTTGCATTCATATTTTCTCCCAATAATTTTATTAAGATATAATTCACATATCATACATTTCCATAGTTCAGCCCGGATTCTATTCTTTCTGACAGCCAGGCACCATCTGGTTTCTTCACCACATTTGGCTATAGCCCCTATATCTTCTGTGATCTCTTCATGAGGGTGAGCATCAAGCAGGACCATGTCATAAGAACTAATTGTTCTTAGATTGGGGATAGAATGAAGTGTGAGCCAAAAAAACCATTCAAATATCTATGGATTATATACATCTCTGGTTCACTTTAGAGACATTATTGTCATTTTATTATAGAGAATATTATAAATCATCCCCCTGGGGCATAATGTAATTCTATTGGTACTGTTATTAACTTAGCCAATGGTATAGAATTTTTTTAAAAAACTGTTGAGAAAAGGAAATTAATACAAGTATAGGCCTTTAAGTCATGTTATTTTCAAATGCCTCGTGTGCATGTGAAAGTTGGCATTGAATACGGAAGAACAAAGAAGAATTGATGCATTTGAATTATGATGCTGGCAAAGAAGATTGAAAGTACAATGGACTGCTAAAAGAACAACAACAAAATTGTTTTGGAAGAAGTACAGCCAGAATGTTCCTTAGAAGCAAGTCTCGTGTAATTTAGACATGCTATCAGGAGAGAGACCAGTCCTTTCAACAGGACATGTTTGTAAACTAGAGTGGCATCAAAAAAGAAGACCCTCCCTTCACAAGATTGATATAGTGGCCTCAACAATGGAACAATCTCTATCTAACAACAATAACAATAACAACAACAACAATGGTCTCAAGAAATGTAAGACAACAAGTTTCTGTTCTTCTAAGCCACCCAATTTGTGATACTTTGTTTATTGTAACCCTAGGAAAATAATTCAGTGTTTTTAATTTGTTTAAGGACTAAGTAGGTCTCAGTTGTGGCTTTGGGCCGTGAATTTTCGACTTGAGGAAACCCTTGCTTTTTCTCATCACAAATACAAACCAAAAAACTAAACGAAACTCACTGCCACTGAGTCAATGCCGACTCATAGTGACCCTATAGGACAGGGTAGAACTGTCCCTATGACTTTCTGAGACTGTCACTCTTTACCGGAGTAGAAAGCCATGCCTTTTTCCCTCAGAGCAGCTGGTGGTTTGGAAGAGTTCATCTCCCTCTTGATACTTCCTGTCACTCTTGAGCTACTTTTCCCTTCACAAAATGAACATAAGCCTTATGTGAAGAGCTGGGATTAAATCCTGCTCTATTATTCACTGGTGGACCAAATAACCTCAAAGAAGTCACCTTATTCTTTGAAGCTTCCATTTTCCCATAAGGTTTTTGTAAATATTACATAGGATGGTAAGTGTCAGAAGGTAAGAGACACTGAACTAATTTTTGTTGGTTCCCTTTGCTTATGTGATAGTGCCTCTTTTCTTTGAACTTTCTGTCATTTGTAAACACATTCAAAAGATGCATTAAAATGAGTTCATCTTACCCAGAATTCTGTCTATTATTAGATACTAAATAGGTTCTGTGATGTTTGAAAATGTTTACTTTGGTCCTGGGGGTTCCTGGGAAGGAAGAGATGAAAAAGGCTTTGAAACATCTCTGCAACTTTTTCTAATTTATTTAATCACAACAGACACAGCCAGGAACCACATGTCTAACTATATCTACACCCACCTATTCTTCCTTCCAAACACACTGCCATCGAGCCGATGCCAAGACATAGTGGCCCTATAGGATAGGACAGATTAGAACTGCCCCTGTGGGTTTCTGAGACTGTAACTCTTTACGGGAGTAGAAAGCCCTGTTGCTTTTTTTTCCTACAGAGTGTCTGGTGGTTTTGAACTCCTGATTTTGCAGAAAATCCAACGTCTTCTCTATGCCACAGAACCTCTCAAAAAAGTTGTCAGTACTTGAATACTACCATTCCTCCCTTCATCAGAGACATCTCTTAAACCTATTCTAGCTAGATTCTCCTTTCCACCACTCTATCAAAACTGCTTTATTCAAGGTCCCCAACTACTAGCTATCAAAATCCTGATAGTCATTTCTCAATCATCATCTTATTTGCCCTTTCAGTAGCATTTAGTACATACACTTTATCATTTCTTTCCCTTTCTAAATTTGGCTTCCAAAACACCATATACTTCTGGTTTCTTTTACTTCATTGGTTATTCCTTGGTTGGTGACTTCTCCTTCTCCTCCTTTCTTCTGATTCCTCAGTTTTAGCAAACCCCTGGGCTCAGTCCTTGGCTCTTTTCTCTTGCTATATTCATTCATCTCACCATGTCTCATGATAATGATTCCCAAATTTATACTTCTGGCTAAGAACTCTCTCCCAATCTCTGGCCTTGCATATCCAACAACTAGTCAATATCGTCCATTGGATGTCTAGTAGACATCTCAGGTTTAACATGTCCCCAAATGAATTTCTGATAATTACCCCCAAAACTGTCTTCAATGATAGTTATGCCATGCTTCCAGAGGCACAGACAAAAAACACTGGAGTCATCCTTGAATTCTCTTTCCTTTATCCCCCACATCAATCAAAGGAATAGAAAACAAATAAATAAACCACACTAAAATATGGTTGCAATTAAAGATCCCAATAAAATGAAAAGATATCCATGTTTATATAATCAAAGATATAATATTGTTGAAGTAGCAGTAGTCCTCAAATTGATCAATATAATTCTTATCAAAATCCCAGCTGCATTTTTGCAGAAATTGACAAGTTGATCCTAAAACTCATATGGAAATTCAAGAGATCTAGATTCCCCAGAAAAAAAATAATAACAACAACAAAGTTGAAAAACTCACATTTCTTGATTTAAAAACTTTATATCATATTAAAGACAGGGCTTTCTACTCCTATAAAGAGTTACAGTCTTGGAAACCCACAGGGGCAGTTCTAACCTGTCCTATAGGGTCACTATGAGTAGGAATTGACTTGATAGAAGTTACTTTGTTTTACTTTGGGTATAGTACCAAGATTGTGCAGTACTGACATTTTCTCTCACTGTCATCAAGAGAAAACCATGTGGGTTTCCAAGACTGTAACTCTTTGTAGGAGTAGAAAGCCTTGTCTTTTCCCTGCAGAGCAGCTGATGGTTTCAAACTTCTGATTTTGTGGTTAGTAATACAACACATAATTACTACTCCACCAGGGCTCCTAGTACTGACATTAGATCATGGTATATAATTGAGAAGCCAGAATTAAACCCTTACATTTACAGTTGATTGATTTTTTTATAAGGGTGGCTGAAAAAAATTAAATTGGGACAACTGGATATCTAAAAGGAAACAAGAAATTTTGATCATGACCTCTTGCCATGCATAGAAATGAACTCAAAATAGTTCCCAGACCTATGTAAGAGAGCTAAGATGATAAAACTCTTAGAAGAAAACAGAGCTGTAAATCTTCAAGACTCAAGTTAGTCTTTTGGTGACTTCTTAAATATGACATCAAAAACACAAGTAACAAAAGGAAAAATAGATAAGATGAAGGAAGTCTGAGTTCATTTATATAATATGTTCAGAACAGACAAATTTGAGGAGACATAAATCAGACTAGTGTTTGTCTAAAGTTTGGGGAGGGGAAAGGTGGGGAGTGATTGCTAATGCATATAAGTCTAGTTTCGGGGTAACAAAAAACATTCTAAAATTAGATTGTGGTGATAGTTGCACAACTGTGAATAAACTAAAAATTATTGGATTATATATACTTCAAATGGGTGAATATATGGTATGTGAATTAGAATTCAATAAAACTGTTAAAATGTACTGACAAATGCAGATACAAATGTTATGGTCTGTTTATAAAGGTAAAACCACTTACTACTTGAATATTGCAAGGAGTGTCCACATTACCACTTTGGTTGGCACTTGGTTTCTATATAACTTTTATTACCTACCTGTTCCCATTCATGTTGTAGTAACTGTTCAGAAAGGATTACACTTGTCCTGCCTTTCCTGCCACCTCCCTTATTTTTCCTTGAGTCAATCATATCTTCTTCATCTGGTGAAATTGGTGGTATCAGCACAGATTTCATCTACAAAACAAACTCATGCATTAGACAAGGCCTATGCTCAATAGGTCACTATGAGTCAAAAACAACTCAATGGCAGTTAAGTGTTTGAGGTAACACAATCAGTTGAATGCAAAAATTTCAATATCAACTGGTATCGTCATTACTGGTATGCCTCCACCCAATGAAAGAAATAGGGTCACCTTTTCCATCTCAGCCACTTTGTTGATCTCATTGATCATTTTTTCACATTAAATTAATTTCATTTTTACATTTTCAACATTGTCTCACAGGGGAAGTTTATTGTTAGAGTTCTAGGGGACCCGAGGGCCACATGTGTAGGCATTAAACATATTCTGAGGCATTATTGCAGGAAATGGAAGATGCTAGGAATGGTGAAAACTACTCTGATTTACTAGCTGTATGTGGGACTAAGAAAATCAACACACTTAAAGAAGTTCAAATATATATCTTTTTTTTTAACACTTTATTAGGGGCTCATACAACTGTTATCCCAATCCATACACACATCAATTGTGTAAAGCGCATTTGTACATAGTTTCTCAAAACATTTTCTCTCCATTTAAACCCCCGACATTAGGTCCTCATTTTTCCCCTACAAATATATATCTTAAGAGGGTTTTTTTTTTTGTTTCGTTATTTTTTTTCCAGGGGAGATGAAAGAAGGTACATTGTGTCCTAAGAAGTTCTTAAAGGGGACACTGGTTGAAAATGTTTGAAATTCTTCAACCTAAACGCAACATGGTTCCCAACCTGATCCTACCAATAATTGATTATTGTTCTCAGTTCCAGTAACAAAGCTGCTGTATATCTTTGGGGAAAAATATCTTTCTGATAGCAAGTCAATTACTATATTCCTGTACATTCTCTCACACAACCTGAAGTTATAATTTTATACTTATTTCTTTATGTATACAAAACTGAATTGGTAAAAGTGCTTCTATTATGTTGGTGGCTATAGTTTCATGGCAGACAATTAGTAGGCACTTCTATTCTTCTGACAACTAGGATGTTGCCTGTACTTTAAAAAATTAAATCAAATCTTATTTTTAGGTATTTTCTCATTGAGTTGGTTGGATCTCAGTTGTCAGCTATTGTTAGAGAATTCACAGTCTACCTTTTCTTTCCCAGCAAAATGTCCTTAGGTATTCAGCAGAGGACAGCATTCTGAAATAATCCTTTGGAGTTAGGTTCACACAACACACTTCTGATGAACACATTGGGCAAGGCCACATGATCTTATGTGTGTGTGGTTCTAAAGTTTTCAAGGCTATGTGGGATCAAGATACTTTGCTCTAGTCTTGCCTTAAGGCATCACATCACCATTTTCTTCTTAAGCCTTACTAGTCATCCTTCCCACAGCCCCTTCTAGGGAACTTGAAGAATAATGAACAACAACCACAAAACCCAAATGCATTTCCATTTAATCTATTCTGACTCATAGCAATCTTCTAGAATAGAGAAGTATTCTCACAGGGTTCCCAGGCCTATATATTTTTATGGAAGCAGCTTTGTTTCTATCACCAAGACCATGTTTTCCAATTGTTCCATCCTCTTTGTTTCCATTTTTTACATTCTAATCTCCAATAATTGTCAATGCATCGTGATTGCATGCTTGCTCTTTTTCTGACTGAAAATATTGGTAGAATTCTTCATTTCTTCATCATTAGCTTTAGTGGTTGGTGCAAATATTTGAGTAATAGTTATATGGATTGAATTTCCTTGAAGGTGGATAGATATTCTCCTATCAGAGACAGCATTGTACTTAATCAAGACATATTTTGAAATGTCCTTTTTGACATCCCCGGCATAGTATATCATATGATTTTCTGATTCAAAATGACCTACATTCATGCTTTTTACATTCCAAGTTCTAATTATTAGATTGTTTTTACAGTTATTTCTTCTCATTTTGAGTTGTGCCCCATCAGCAAATGGAGATCCCCAAGGCTTTACTCCCACAGGCTTTACTCCATTCACATAACCATGGTCAACACTACTTTGAGAGAGCAGCTCTTCTTCAGTCACGTTTCAAGTGTCTTCTGCCCTGAGGGGTCCATCCTCTGGCATTATCTCCGACAATGTTCTGCTTCCATTCATTTGGCCTTCGGTATCTGACAATCTGTCCACACTATGCATGAAGTTTTCAGTGGCTACTTCCTCCAAAGTATGCAGCCAATTCTTCCTTTGTAGTCTATCCTTAGTCTGAAATCTGTTCACTTTGGGTGATCCTGCTGGCATTTGAAATACCATCGACATATCTTCCAGCATTACAGAAACACACAAGCCACCACAGTAAGACAAATTGGCAGACAAGTGGTGGCAATCTCCAACTAAGTATTTACTGAGTCTTAGGGACTGAGTTTATAGACGTGGACTAGAGTAACAGAGGAGACAAGAACCAACACCACCACAAATCCTTAGTTAATTTTGGAAACTATTAGGAAGGATACATACAAGAGGCCCAAGAGCATATAAAAGGGAACTTGATCTAATCTGGAGATTGTGGAAGGTTTTCCTGAGGAGAAATATAGTTAAGTTGAAAGTGAAAGGCTGGGTAGACATTAGCAACACGAGGGCCATGTACAATCATACTCATCTAGCTCTGTAGCTGATCTTGGTCCTTCAGCCACGTGATGCCTCTATGGGGCACAGGCGCCTCTGCTCCCTTTCATCCCTCATTCTAGTCTGGGCGCTCCAGGTTAGCAATGGTAGTGGAAGAAAAGAACTCCACCAAGAAAGCAAGTCACTAAGTGTAGGATCTTTATAGGCACCATACAACCACCTCCCTCAGAGGTTCTATACATGGTTTCCTGCTCAGCTTCTGCTGCATCTAATACGATTTTAAGTCAAATGAAACTCACTGCCATTGAGTCAATTTTGATTCATTCAAAAATGAAAAAAGTCACTGTCATCAAGTGAATTCTGACTCATAGTGGTAGAGGATTCCTAGAGTATATATAACTGTCCCTGTGGGTTCCTGAGACTATAACTTTTCACTGGAGTAGAAAGCCTCATTTCCCATAGACTGGTGGTTTCAAATAGCTGATTTGTGGCTAACGACCCAACATTTAACCCATCACTTCACCAGGATGCCTCCATTTTGACTCATAGTGATCCTATTATAGCTAGCATTTCTAAGGTTATAAATCTCTACAGGAGAAGACAGCTCCATCTTTCTCCTGCAGAGAAACTGGTGGAGTAGAACTGCTGATCTTGTGGTTTCCAGCTCAATGTGTAACTCGCTATGCCACCAGGGCTCTATATTTACTATGATGATTAGACTTTGAATATTTTTTCAATTCCACAGAACCATTTAAAGTAAATTATAAGGGAATATAATATACTTTGCTTATAATATATAAGGGAAATTATACGAATTGAAAAATAAATTAAGAAAAAAAATTTTAAAGAAAAATAAATTAAGATTTTACTTTTTTAAAATATTAGGATTTTCTCACTTTTAGTATGAAATGGCCAAATTACCTCATTCCAATATGAATTTAAAAAATATTTTTCCATGAATAGAAATTAATTAGCCCCTTCTCATGCAATCAGAAATTTTCCTTAAAATTTTTACTAATCTTTTCAGTTACAATAACTATAAAAATGCAAATCAATATATAATAATAAAAGGGGCATACATTCTTGAATACATACATCTCTGAAATAAGATTTATGCAGACATTATTTCTTACTTTTTGTCTTTCTATACGATGGAGTAAATTCAGGTCCGTGGACTCTGACAGACCGCCATGTAAGATCAGAATTTCATTATCAACCACTGTAGCAATTGGGAGCCAGGTGTAGACTTCTTCCAAGATTTTCAAGATTTTTCCTCCATAGAGCTGCAAATAAAAAGCTCAAGCAAGTTTTTTTTTTCTTGATAAGTTCAAGCTTATTGAGAAGTCACAATGTATGGACAAAGGTAACTGTTTCCAAGCCATTCTGTTACCACAAAGTCACTAGCCAACTAGAACTTTTGAAAGAGGGCTATGCTTTAATGGAATGCTCACTTAGCTAGCTACCAATGTTTCATGGCAAGACTAGGTCACTGAATCTGCTTTAGAGTGATCCCTGATTGGCTCTTTATGAGGTCTAGAATCAGGCTACATTAATCCTTTAAAGCGGAAGAGAACCTCAGTAGAAATGAGTATTCATACAGTTTGGTTCTGGGTAGTTCCTGCTATCTGTAACTTCCAGGGAAACCATTTGATTTAACAAACTCTTATTGATAGGGTTTGGAAAGACATACCTCTGCCCTTTAGAAATACCAAACTGAATAGAGGAGATGAGAGATGTACACAAATCACTAAAATAATACTATGATCTAACTGTAACTCTGAATCTAGGACTTTGGGGGGTAAAGAGGATGAGAAAATTAAGCCTTCTGAACATTTAAAGAATATACCATGGAGGTGGCATCTAAATTGGACTCAAGAATAAATAGGATTTATGACTAAGAGATGTGAAAAAGAGTGTTTTGAGTAGAGGTTATAGCTTTAGCAGAAACATGAAGGCCAAGAAGTATAGGTCAAGTACAGAGAACAGTAAGCAGAACATGTTTGCTAGAGCTCAACTGATGCCCCAGAGAGAACAAAGGAAGATAAAATTGAGAAAGCAGTTTGTAGGTCAATTGTATAGGACCTTATGTGTCAGGCTAAACGATTTAAACTTTATTCTGAAATAACATTCTCAAACCTGGCCCAATGCCCTCATTCAATAAACACTTTATACTTTAGTTAATCACAGAAATATCCTTTAAATTTTTTTTAATAAAGGTTTATCTTCACAGTAATAAGAGGTTGCCTGGTGGTTGTAGTTTCGCATTGGACTGCTAAACCAGCACTCACTCCTCAGGGTAAAGATGAGGCTTTCTATTCCTGTAAAGAGCTACAGTCTCAGAAACTCACAGAGACAGGTCTACTGGGTTCCACAGAGTTATCATGAGTCAGAATTGACTCGGTAGCAGTGAGTTTGGTTTTTATTGGTGGAAGGGAGAGTAGAATTGCAGGCCAGGGATGCAAGGGGCTAGGATGTGAGAAACGGATGAGGAGGCAGGTGAAACATCTATAACATGGTTCCTGGGAATTTTCAGAGCTGTTACCTCAATTAAGAGTCCCTCAACTGCTCTAGGGAGGCCATGTGACCATCAGCCTTCTCACTCAATGAATCTGAACTAGATAGTCCCTTCTTATCTCTTGGTCTGGCCTTTAGCATTAAATCATTGTTTTATAATGTCAGTACAGAACCTGACATGTTCTAAAATCAACATTAAACCCACTGTCATTAAGCCAATTCTGACTCATAGTAATTCTATAGAACAGAATAAAACTGCCCCTGTGAGTTATTGAGATCAAGTCTTTACTGAGCAGACAGCCTCATCTTTCTCCCATGGAGCAGCTGGTGGGCTTGACCACCAACCATGCGGTTAGCAGTCTACAGCACCACCAGGACTCTTTTGACATATTCTAGGTTCTTAAAAATATTTGTTGAAAAATATAGAGGTTGTGGTTTGCACATTTTACTAGGGTAACAGTTATTTTGTTTCCATTGCCCCAATACCAAGCGTCTTGGCATAATGTCTTACTAGCCACCCCTTCCCACAACCCCTTCTAGAGAACTTGAAGGATACTAAATAACAAAAATACCCCACAGTTATTTCCATTGCATCTAGTCTAACTCACAGCAACCCTCTAGGATAGAGGAGAATGACTCTTATAGGGTTTCTAAGCCTATACATTTTTATGAAAGCAGACTGCCACATCTTTCTCGCATAGAACGGCCGGTAGATTCAAACTGCTGACCTTCTAGTTAGCTGCCAAGCACTTAACCACTGCACCACCAGGGCTCATAAGGAATACTAAACCATAGTCTTAATCTTATAGATCATCCTTCTCTGTCTGTCTGCACTGGCTCCCAATCTGCCCCACTTTACAAAATGCCTTTCATAAACTTAGAATGGACACTCTCAGTCTTAACTGTCTCCTGCTAACAATGCTACTGTCACAACAGGTGTAAATCAGGAAGTATGGTTACTCCTATAGTTGGAGGTCCTATGGGATGGGAAAGGATGCCTGGCGTCACAGTGGGTTAACTTTGTGGCTGTTAACTGTAAAATTAGTTTGAACAAATCAGGTGCCTGTGAGAGAAAGATGAAGCTGTCTGGTCCTGTAAAGAATAACCTAAGGAGCACTTTTATTCTGCCCTATAGAATTGCAAGGAGTTAGAATTGCCTCGCTAGCACTGGGTGGTCTGGTATGGTAAAATCGAGGTTATAAGATAAGACTTGGAAAACTGCTTTAGCATCTCATGACAGAGCCCTAAAGGCTTAATATGATTGTGTTTGTTGTTGTTAAATTATCTTTAATACAATAACTCATATGTCCTGCAAGTTCTTTAGGATCTGCAGAACCCCCTCTTGGAGCTACAACCAATGCATCTTGTTTCTGAAGGAAGCAGTCCTACTTTCTTTTTCTTCTGAATTTTCACACTTCCTTGCTTTGTTCTTTGGCTAAATAAGGTGCAATAAGATACAATCTTTCTGGAGGGGCAGAAACTTCTAGCTAATATTCATTACAGAAATACTGAGGAATCACAGGGTTGTAATAGAATTTTAGATCCCTCGTCCAAAAGTGCTTCCTTGAAAATGGGTCCCTTTTTTAAGGCCTCCTGTATAGCTGCAGTGGCTATGAGGTTAGTTGTAACAATCGAAGACCATGAACTTAACCTGGCTCTAATATGTTGGCTTGCCATGTGCCTTCTTTTGTATTCTTTTTTAGTGGTGGTATTGATGTTCCTGTGTATAATTATTTTCATTCACATGCATTTGCTCACACTCATTTATACTTGCGTTTTTCTTTCAAATAATACTACTTAGAGCTACCATTTATTTCATGTTGGGGTAATTTTCACAATTAAAAAAATGCATTATTATCATCTCCATTTTACTGAAAAGAAAATTGGGGTTTATGAAGGTGAAATAACTTGTATAAGGTTACGTAAAGTATAACTATGGAGCTAGGATTTGAATTTCATTCTATTCTACAATAAAAAGAACTTATGTGCTTAACTTTTCTCGTGCAAAAAATAAGCTGTTATTATGGTTACCTGCCACTGAGTCAGTCCCTGACTCCTGGGGAACCCATGCACAATGGATTGGAACACTGCCTAGTCCTGCACCATTCCCATGAATGATTCCAGATCAGGCTGTTGTGATGTACAGCGTTTTCATTTGCTGCTTCTTAGAAGTAGACCACCAGACTTTTCTTCCTAGTCTTGGTCTGGAAGCTATGCTGAAGCCTATCCAGCATCATAGCAAAGTGCAGGCTTCAACTGACAGATAGGCAGTGGCTATATATTGGCTGGGAATTGAATCTAAGTCTCTGGTTTGGAAGGAGAAATTTCTATCTCTAAACCACCAATGGCCCCAGCCCCGTGCTAAGAGAATTTTAATCTATTCCATCACAGTTCTCAGTAAGCAAGTAGTGCACTCACTGTTTTGCACCTCTGTCTCTGTGCTAATTTGCGCTGACCCCCTGATCCAGCACAGGTGATTCTGATGTAGTAGCAAACCCCCTTATTTTTAGGCTTTCACTCTTCCACTGAGATCATATATACGATATATTGAAATAATTTAGGGTTTGAGGATATCCCACATTTCCAGAAACCAAAAGAGCTAAGTGTGTTGGATTAAATTCATTAGTTGGAATATTCCTGTGTCTATGCTGAAATTTACATAAAAGTAAAATAAGAAAGGTTTTGTTTCATCCAGAAAGAAAGTACAGGATGCTATCACAGCCAGAGCTTCCTGCTGTGACTTTATCTGTTGGGATGTATTCTGACTATAAACAGCAAAGAGAATACAAAAAAAGACACAAAAACAAAGCAAAACCAAAAAAGGAATATAGAACTTACCTTGTATTTAGTCATAATTTCTTTAGTGAAGCCATACCTAAAAAAGGGAAGAAATTTAAACTATCTAATTAAATATTGGCAACTCCTACATATATGAACAAGGAGAATTGCTGAAATCTCACTATCACAAGTATCAAGAAACTAGACTTTACTTGGAAATGACTGTACATACTCCAGTCTGCCTAGGCATAATGGGCTAGAACAAAACTTCATCGATGACATCATCCTGCACTCAAGGATCTTACAGTGTAGTTAGGGGAAGAAGATATGTAACTTGTAACCATCATGAAACAATTACAAGACAACTTAAGAAACAGGTGATTGGTGCAGGGTGTGTAATTGCTGCAAATATTCATAGAAGTATATTGAAGCAGCTAGGAGAAACTGTGTGGGAGAATGCTTTTCACTTAACATTTCTCAGACATCCTACATTTTACAGTGAATGAATGATCCAAAAAATAAAATAAGACTGAACAACGACAAAGAAAAGCCTAGACGATAGCAAGTTGGTTCTTTATGCTCTCCCTGATACAGTTCATGTAATGGTATTCAAAGTTTTAAATAGTAAGTGTCGGGATTTTCAAAGCCTGAATAGCAGTAGCTAAGGGAGTTTTAATGATGGGAATGTTTTTCAATTACTTTTTTCCTTGACTTAGAATAGTCTGTACTCTTAATATACAACAGCAAAGTTGGGATGCAGAATTCATTCCAGGTTCCCATGGAAGTTCTAGCATGACATTTCTTTGGCATCACATCACATTTTTGGAGATGAATTCAGTCCTGTATTTACCGAAAGCGTCCACATTGTTAAGTCCAAAAGACACTTTTCAATCATCACTTTTGCATCCTCTCTGAACCACTACCGTTGACCTTACAGTCCCTTCCTAAAACCCTTTCTTCTCTCAGATTTTATAACAGCAAACTTTGGACTTTCTTCCTTCCCTTTGAATCTCCTTCATAAGTCTCCTCTTGGTATTTCATCACATATATCCCAGGCGCTCTTTTCCCTTCACTCTGTCCCATGGCAACTTCATCCCTGCCTTAGGTTGCCAGGTGCTATCTAGGTGTCAAAAGCATGAGACACTGCTGCAGGCCACATTTCATTTCTGAGCTTTGGACTTAAACATTCAACTGCCTACTCAATAGTACCCCAAATCAGCTTACCCCCAATTGAACTCATCATCCTCCCTTATCCCAATCTTCTCCTCTTTCCAAGTTCTACATATTAGTAAATGATGCGGCTATACCCCCAAACTCAAGCCAGACACCATCCTTGAGTCCCTCCTCTTCCAAATAACCCATATCATGTACCGAGCTCTACAGCATTCACTGCATAAATTCCTCTTGACTCTATCTACTGATTTGTTTCCCTTACTGCCATGCTAGTTTGACTCCAGCATCTATCTCTTCAACCACTTCCTAACAGTCTCCCTATATCTGTCCCCCCACCCCTTTGTTTTTTAGTTGCCATTGACTCATGGAAACCTCACATGTGTCAGAGTAGAAGTGTGCTCCGGAGGGTTTTTAATGGGTGATTTTTTTTGCGGGGGGTGGAGGGGAGGATTAGACTGCCAGGCCTTTATTCTGCGGCATATCTGGAAGAAGTCAAACTACCAACCTCTTGGTTAGCAGTTAAGCATGCTAACCATTGACAACACCTGGTGAAACACGGATCCCCTTTTAACCCTTTCCTATTCACTCATCCTACTGCATCTTAAAACACAAATATAATTCTCTTCCATGGTAAACATTGACATTAGAATAAAGTTCAAATCCTTTTGGACTTTTGCATAATGCATATGCTTCTTACTGCTTTAGCCCTATGAAATAGTGTTCTACCCCTCATTCTCTGCTTCTGTACTCCTAAGAATTTCTCAAGTCTAAAATTTTGAGCTCTGCATGAGGTTGTCTCCTGGCGATAGGGCATTCTTCCCCATTCCTCCCCATTCCTCCCTTCATAGCCTTCCATATCCTAGTTCATCCTTCAGGTCTCAGGCTAACTCCACACGTTTATGAGGGAATCTTCTGTCACCCTTCAGGCAGGATTGGATCCCCCTTTATAAACTCATCACACTTGAAAAATCTGCTCAGCCCTGCTAGATAGAAACCAGTGAGAGTAGGAGCACTGTCTCTTTCTTTGCCCTTTGCAGGCACTAGATCATCCTGACTGGTTATCTGGCTGAATGACATGTCCACATGGAAGTCCTGAGAGGCGGTACATATAATGAATTTCTCATCATAGTCCTGGAGTTGTTCTTTGCACATTCTTACCATTTGCTCCTACACCTGAAAATTAGAATAGAATCAGAACAAGTACCCAAGTGCCCCAAACCCAAAAGTGACTAGTTATTAAGTTTTGACCAAGGCATCGGAAAGCACACTTTCAATTGCCATAGAGAAAACTGGTTTCTGGTTTTCATCAAATAAGAAGAAAAAAAAAGAAGAAGGGAAAGGGGAATAGTTGTCACTGCCCATGCCTTTCAGCACAAAAAGTCTTACTTTATTTAACCTATTTCTCTTCCTCATATCTCCAGTGAGGCATGTTACAGCTGTTTTCAAGGATGTTTATGGACAACTATACTAGAAGCAATTACTATATCATAAAAATATGTGCACATTGGTGAATATCACAGTATTTGTTTCTGAGACAAATTTGTAGGAAAGTCAAAAGACTAGTCACAGATGATTCATCTAAGCCTGTCATAGAGCTCACCCCCACTCCCAGCCTGACTTTATGCACAGTTTGACCTGGGAAGAGTTGGTATCGGAGGCAAATAATATAATAGATTAGAGAAAATGAGGAAAATAACATTCGTGGAAGAAAAGATAGAAAGGGGGCTTAAAACTGGGGTCATAAGCAGGGGTAGAAATTGAGGTCTTCCTTCACATCTCTCCATTTTCACTTTTCTACCCTGGCCACCAGCTAGAAGTCACATTTTCAGAGGGTGAAATAGACTAGGAAACCTAAAGGCTTGCGTTACCTCAGATTCATCAGAAAGTCTTCATGGTTCCCTCTGTTCAAGTGCAGGTCATTTGGATAGACAAGCAAAGTCACTAGCAGGATCATGAGGATCTCAATGGAATTTTTTCCTCGATCTACAAAATCACCATTGAAAACATAAGGATTTTCCTCTGAAGGAAGACCATTCTGTGGAAGAACAAGAACAAGCAGTCAAAAGAATGTACGTTCAAAGTAAGCCTGTGCAGTTAATACCCTTGAGAGTACGGCGGGAAAATGCTGACTTAGTCCTTCCACTGGTGGATATTCCGGCAAGGAACCTGGGATATGAAGAAGTTGCCTGAGATGGGAAGATTCCAGCGAGGATAGGGGTTGGTCCACCTACTGTGCGTCTTCTTTGAAAGAAGTTGACATATTTATCCTATCAAAAATGCCATCTCTCATCTCATCCTTCTCCTCTGAGGAAAAGAGGGAAACTTCTAACACAGAATTAGAGCAAAGTCTTTCTTTCTAACGGGCCTTGCATTTAGCTTTTCTAGCTTGTGATTCCATTGATTTGCAAACAGGGAATGACACTATATACCTCTCCAGATCAAATGGACATAAAGTACCCGGGAAAGTAAAGTTGCTCTGTAACTGAACTGGGCTGGTGGACCACAAGTCAACACCAGTACAACCATATGAGGCATTTCTAGCTGGTATGCATTGAATGATCACTGACTGGGTCATATTAGCCATTAAATACTTTGAATATCACTCCTGAGAATGAATAATGCTTGTTAAGTGCTATGTGGGCATGAGAAAGAGCTGAGATCAGTACAAAGGTCTGGTGTTTATAACAGCTATAACAACACTACAAATTTGAGGGCAAAATAAACATATATAACATGGTTATATTTTCTTAATGCCATGCCTGATGGGGAAATGGCTTACTGCATTTCTATTGTACACTAAAATAAATACCAGTACTTAAAATATATGTATTACATCATGAACAATTTAAGTACTTACATATTCAAATATGCATTCTCCTTCAAATAAATTACTACCTTCTGGAAATAACTCTAGTTATATTAATCTTTTTCAAGTCATTTTTAATTTCTCTTTTGTTAGTTTTTAAACTAAGAAAATCTAATGATTTTATACTCAAATTTCTATATCTACATGCACATTTAATTTTTGATACCAGTATATTGGAATTAGTTTAAAAATAACAACATAGAAATTCCAAGAACTATACTATGCGATGTAGTTTCTTTTGAGGGCAACTGGAACTCTGAACTTGGACCAGAAGTAAAAAGACCTATAGCTTAGTCAAGCGCTACTTATTGCCCATGTCTCTTTCAGCAAGTTATTTAATCTTTGTGAGATGTAATTTCCTCATCTATGAAATGGGAACAATCACTCCCATATTTACCAAAATAAACAAGACTACTTTGGAACTGAAATGAGACTATTTGTATAAAAGTGAAACTTGTAACACATCATACAAATTAATAGATTAGTTTTACTATAAACTGTGTTACTTTTAAAAAACATTTTATTAGGACCTCTTACAGATATTATTACAATCCATAGTTCCATTAGCTCAAGCTTAATTGTACAATTGCTGCCCCCATCATTTTCAATACATGTTATTTTCTTCTTAAACTCCTTGATATCAGCTCCTCTTTATCCCCTGCCTCCCCAACCCTACTACCCCACTAAACCCTCAGTATATTATATATTATTACTGTTTTCTTTGCCATAGCTTCCACCATCGCATGTATCCAATCACCTAAAATTCTGATGTTCATTCCCTTCTAGTGGGGTTATGCAGTCATCATTGCTGTCAGTCCCTCTGGCCCCATCCTCTTCCCGTATCCTCAGGGATTCACTACTCCTCTTCCTGTTTCTGAGGGGTTTATCCATCTTGAATTTCATGCATAGAAAGATCTTGATTGTACCCATGTACATACACAGGTCTAGCAAGATTAGTGAGGTAAAACTAAGGCCATAATAGTAGGAGGAGGAAATTTTAAAGAATTAGAGGATAGTTGTGTTTCAACAGTGCTCTACTGTACTCTGGATATATCATCCCTTCTGTATGGTCCTTCTGTAAAGAAGGTGGGCTTTGGGTCTCCACCTTGCCTCTGTTCTTTCATATCAGTTTAATTACTTGTTTTTGAACTTCCGATACCTATTCCCTTTGACACCTCATGATCACATCGGGGCATATGGGCAACAAAGCTTCCCTGCTAGATAGCAGCTTGTTTGACTTCAAGCCTTTAAGACCCCAGACACTATATCTTTTAATGGCCGGGCACCATCATAAGCTGTGCTATTTTTAAGATTCCATTATTTTATATTTTCTTATCTACTAATTCACTAACTTATTTAAATTGAGCTTAACAATATGTTAGCTATAAAATATATACTGTTTGTCATCAAAATGTAAGGAATAGAGGGAAGATTATGCTTCTCTAATATTCTTCCTAAGAAACCCTGGTGGCATAGTGGTTACCAGTTGGGTTGCTAACTGAAAGGTCAGCAGTTTGAAACCACCAGGCAACTCCAAGGCAGAGCAATTTTATCTTGTCCTATAGGGTCACTACAAGTCAGTATCAACTTGATGGCAGTGAGGATTTTTTTGGTTGGTTTGGTTGGGTTTTTTTCCTTTGTTTGTTTTGAGAATATGCTTTCTTCCCCTGGCACTCAAATGGCCAGGATGAGTAACTGAAAGTGCCTGAGGGATGTTGAACCTGATAGGTTCTCTATAAAAAACCCCACAAAACTCACTGACATTGAGTAGATGCTGACGCATACTTGATAAGCATTCTTTTTATAACCCCCAGTTGCCATTGACTCATGGCAAACCCTGTGTGTCAGAATAGAAAGATGCTCTATAGGGTTTTCGATGGCTGATTTTTCAGAAGTAGGTTGCTAGGCCTTTTCTCTGAAGCACCACTGGGTGGGCTCTAACCTTTAGGTTAGCAGTTGAACACCTAACCTATTTGTGCTGCCAGATACACCAATACATTCCAAATAACCCACTGCTGGCTAATAGATTCTAATGCTATAGGATAGAGCAGAACTGCCTCTGTGGGTTTCCAAAACTGTACATTTGTATGGGAGCATAAAGCCTCATCTTTCTCCTACAAATCAGCTGGAGGGTTCAAGCTGTTGACCTTTCAATTACTAGACCAGTGGGTAACCCACTGTACCACCAGAGCTCCCTAAAATAGACTAGAATTAACTGAAAGAAGACAGTTTGGGAAATAAATGATTAATTTGGAAGGGCAAGAAGATGAAAAATCTCTCATCTCAAGGAGAAAGGTGGAAATCATGAAGAGACAAGAGACATAACATGCCAATAATAGACATTCCAGAATCAAGGAAAGGGATCTGATAGAAAAGAGGCAACCATTGCATAAATAAAAAAGGCAATTTCCTCTGGTTAAAAAGAGACATCAGCATTGAGTTTTAAGAACTCATGATACTTATGCTCATTGATGGAGAATTTACCTGGTAAAATTCTTATAAGAGGTCAAAGAACAAGTCACAAAGGGAAAAGAATCAGCTTAGCATCTGCAAAAGTGGAAGGTAGAAAATGTCGACAATCAACAAATCAAAGGACTATAAATCAAGAATCCTCTGTTGGCCAAGACATCTCAGGATGACAGAAAACTATTTGCAGGTGTGTATATGCATGTAAATGGGCTAAATTCTCAGACTGCATTATTCGACTAAAATAAAAGACAAATTGTGTTTTGGAGAAATACACATATGAAGAGGAATCCCCAACCCAAATGGAATTTTTTTCAAAGCTATGCATTTAAATTTTCTTTTTTTACAAAACCACCTTATCAATTTCAAAGTACTCTCCATTACACTTAATACATTTGTCAAATATGTGATTCCATTCTTGGAAACAGTTTTCAAATTCATCAGTTTGGATGACTGACAGAACCTCCCTCATTTTTTTTTCTTTATCTCTACTACATTGTCAAATCGCTGTCCTTTCATGTTCCTCTTCATTCGCAGAAACAAAAAGAAGTTGCACAGAACAAGGTCAGGTGAGTAAGGTGTATGGGTCAAGAGAGCCATGCTGTTTATTTCCTCTAAAACTGGGATACTGAGATGGGTGCATGAGCAGGTGCACTGTCGTGGTGGCAAAACCAGTCCCCTGCCTGCCACAAATCAGGCCTTTTTTTGTCACACACCATTACTCAATCTTTTTCAGAACCTCTAAATAGAAAGCTTGATTAACAATCTGACCTGGTGGAACTAACTCCAAATACATTATCCCCCTCACATAAAAAAAAAAAAATTGGTTTTTTGGGGGTACCCCCTTGTACAACAAATAAAAAAGGAGGAGGTTGAAAATAAGGTAAATGCCACACATTGAAAGCAAAAATGGAAATATTAATACTTATATAAGGTATGATTAAGATTAAATATACTAAATAGGGTCACAGAGCAATATCATGCATAATAAAACACACTGCATGCAGATGTATAAGCTTATATGCAATAAATAAAACAAAGTCTTGCTTTGTGTATTTAACTACTATAAATGCAGAAGAAACTGTTTAAAAATACATAGTGAGTTATTCAGATTGTGATGGTTTAATATAATGCTCACTTAGTAAATCATATAGTGTTAGGGTGATTTGTTACATAGCAAAATAAAACTAATAGAAGTAAGAGTTTTTGATAGGAATAATAAATAAGAAATCTATATAAAATTAAGTATATAGTCAATAAATTGATTAATCAACATATGAAAAGTTTTATATTTTACAGACAGAGAATGCAGTTAATTTATCATATCTCTATGGAGCATTTATGGGAATAAATTGGATCAAAGAGGAAATTAAAACCCAAATTTTAAGTTCAATAGAAAGCTCCACTAAATCAAAATTATGAAACATAGCATTTTCAAGTATCTTAATTATTTAAAAAACACACATGAATATTGTATTTATCCTACAAATGAATAAAACAGGAAACAAAAAAGAAAAGATACTGTATATACTCAAGTATAAGCTGAGTTTTTTCAGCACATTTTTTATGCTGAAAAAGCTCCCCAATTTTTTTGTGTTAAAATTGGGTGCCTCGGCTTATACTCGAGTGTATACCGTATATAAATTCAAGGTTTTGTTAAAAATAAAAGTGATAAAAACAGAGAATGAAAAAATGAGTACAAT